AAACGAAACGAAACGAAACGGAAATTTAACATATTCTCCATCCCTGCTTTCGAAACATATGAAAAAAATTTTACGCACCCCTCGACTTTCAATTAATAAGACACTGCACGAGTCAGTCTATTGCTTATTTTCGGTCTCTTTATTAACCAAACAATTCATGTTCTTATACTTAACACCCAGTAGAAGTTTTTACAACGGACGTTTGGAGTTATTTGCTTGTAACAAAAGCTCACTGAAACTTTACCGGTTATGTGTTTAGATTTAATTGCCAGCCCACATCATCGCCTATCGGTGTCTTTCATTGTGTTTGATTAACCAAGAAACTTGTTACTCAGCTGTACTTCGTAAACAAATAGCCGCCAACTTGTTGGGTAAACGGAAGAGATGATATGACTACAAAACCGATCTTCATGCCTTGCTAGGTTTATTTTACTTGTAGCGAAATATGCTTTTGTTTTTAGGATTTCTTCTGGTACTTTTTAAGCCAATATCTTCATCAGGTAAGCTTTGGAAACCATTTTTAGACTTTCTTTTTTTGTACAATTTCTATATATTCCTCTAGTTCTTGATGCGTTCATATTTCAACACCTGCCTCCACCACTTGTCGTTTTGATTCGCCATTTTCCGAGTTATATTCTGAACAGAATGCTAACTCCTTTTATAGCTCCGTCCGATAATTTTAGTTGTGTAACTCTCTTTCTTAGATTAACTTTGCTTTAAAATTATTTTCGAAGAAAACGATTCATACTTGTGCCGTTAAATCAATTGGATCAAACTGTGGATTCAAAATGAGCCACTCAGATTTTATACAAGCTTAAAACTAAGGTTTTTTTCTGTGAGAATTAATTTTTTGTTATGTTATAAAATAAAAGCGGGCGTTTTTTTGACGCATTATTATTTAAAAAAAGACATTTCAAGAAAGGGTTTTTGCTGGCGTATTGAGTGCCAAATTATTTTCTTCACATCAGTTCTTCACAACTCGCCTCATTTCTTTTTTATTTTCGTTTATTTTCCTTTTTCTTTTCTTTTCTTTTCTTTCTTTTTTCTCTTTTCTCTTTTTCTTTTTTCTTTATTTTTTCCTATCCTACCTTTTCTTTCTCCCCTTCCCTACATTTTATCTTTCCTCTCTTACTGTATTTTGTTTTGTTTTTTTTCTCCGGCCTTTTATTTCTATCTCGTTTATTTACTTTTCTTTTTTACAATTTTGTTGTTGTTGTTTTGGCTGTTTTTTCTTCCTTTTTTCTTTGCATCAAATCACCTCGAAGAAAATACGAGCTAAGAATTTTGCGAATGAATATTATTATATACTATCAGAATCAGTATAATAGTGAAATTCTCAATGGTCATGAATTTTTGCATTCTGTTTTCATCGTGGATTATTGATAAGGTTCTTAATATTCTTTAGAAATTTTGAAATTTAGGTACGTAGTAAGAACATGATGCTTGCATGCATATGAGCATATATAACGATATTTTTCAATTCTTTTGATGGGCGTAAAGTTCATAGATGCGTACATCACGAAATTCTTTAATTTTCAAACAAAAGGGTTAACCACGGATTATCTCTTAAAACAGTTAAACTAACAAAAGGAACAAATATCATGACAGAATTTCCCCCCAAGTAATTGACTTCGTGATAATTAATATCAACCAACTCCTTGATGTACAATCCATGTGTTGCTAAGGAAACCGATATGTTATCGATAAATAAACCAAAATATGTCTCTTTTACTCCGACAAAGGACTGGCGTTCGAAACGTGAGTAAGTTTTTTCATCTTTTCACGGTGTAWAATTTACCCTTTTATCATTACTGTCAAAATGTGTCTAATTGAACCACTAATAAAACCAAAGACTATACTCTTAGAAATATTGTCCTAAAAATAGAAATAAGGGAATTTAAATTTTAGGACCCTTTTTAAAGAAGTCATTGAATTGAATGACACGGATGAGCAAAAATCGCCCTAGTCTTTATTCATTTAGTTTACGATGTATTAAAAGCGGAGGGCAACGTACGATAGGTACAATAGGAGCTGTAGGGCTTCCTCCACGCTCTGGGCTTAAGATTTATTATTAGACTCATAGATAATTCACGAAGGAAACACAAAAGAAATCACTACCGTAGATCTTCATCAGCAGACAAAGATTTGCCCTCATTTTGGCATAGACTTGAACCTCGATTTTCTTAGCCCATAATAATCTGTATTTAGAAATTCTGGTGAAATAGGATATTTTGCAACTAGACGTTTGATAAGTAATATAAAGAAATCGAGTCCTTGTTTTATCGGAGCTAAAGCTTAGCTGGTAGTACAATCATTCCCTGATCCGCCAGGTGCTTGTGTATCATTTATTCCCAACTCCCAACCAATTGGCAGAGAACATTCCCGTTTCAGACCATGTGTTCTGCCCTAGAGAATCATTCCTTCGTATAATGGTTATGCATGAAAAATCACATATATATGGATTCGACTCAAACAAAGAATCTCATTCTTAATGAAATGACACGTGATTTTGAATCTGAAAACGTCATGCCTAAGATAAAGACCGCTGTTAGGAAAGGAATGACTCTTGAATCTTACTAGGAAGCGTGCAACCCCTTTGCCTTTTGAAAAATCAAAGATAACTCCCTATATATGTTACCAATATAATAAACTCACTACATAATTGTTATTTAATTCTCAGGATGTGGTCAGCGGCCACCAGGAGCGAGAGTCATAGGCGGAGATATCGCTGTACAAAACTCCTGGCCGTGGCAAGTCTCGTTGTCGCTGGGTAACTATCACACTTGTGGAGGGTCATTGGTCGCGCCCACGTGGGTTGTGACGTCAGCACATTGTGTGGTTGTCTTTCCTTTGCCATACCTCTATAATGTGATTGCAGGTAATAAATCTATGAATTAGTATATGTAATAGGACTCCATGCTGTCCAATTAAGAAATAATTGGACGAGGAAAATTCCGGACTTCCAAAATTGGATGAGGTCTTAGGCCAAGTCCAATTTGGCAGTCAGAGGAATTTTTCGAGTCTAATTATTTCTTGATTGGGGAGCATGAAATCCCATTACCTATTAATTATATAGCTGCCTAATTAATCCCATATCAACAAGACCTGTCCAATTAAGAAAATAATTGGACAGTTACCTATATGGGATTAATGAGAAGCTGTATAATTAATAGATTAATGTAGCTATTACGGATAATTTGTATGTAGACCAGATAATTAAAAAATAATTTGTCTTGTTTTCGTTCTTAATTTTCAGGTGCCCACAAACTTTATGGCAAAACTCCTGTGCAGCAGAAAATCCGAGTAAAGAATATCCACATACATCAAAAATATAATAATAAAACCTTGAAGAACGACATAGCACTGGTTGAATTGGAAAAACCTGTTCGACTGAGCTCGCGCGTCAACACTATTTGCCTTCCACAAATGACCGATGGGCTTGGAAGTACCAACAGCAAGTGTTATGTTACAGGTATGATAGATCAGTACGGAAGTAATATATAATATAATAAACAAACCTTGAAAAACGACATAGTACTGCTTTGCTTGAAATGGAAAAACCTGTTCTTCTGAGCTCGCGCGTCAACACTATTTGCCTTCCACGAACTATCAATGGGCTTGTAGGTATGATAGATACTAAAAACATTTGCAAGTAGACCTGAGATTGACCCCAGTAGAACTTCGAATTCCAGATCCAGGGGAGTGGTTCAGGGGTCAGGACTCCACCCTTAACAACGCGTTGTTATTCCCTTTTTTAACATACGATATATTACAGGGGTAGAGAATCTTTACACTATGATATCGTGAACATTTTCTATTGAAATTCATGACTCTTATGCAGGCTTATAAATTGACATCAGATCAAGCTCCTTGACGTCACATGCAAGGGGTCTATTGCATTTATTCAATATATTTATTTAACGGTTAAACTAGTGAAATTTTAAAGTGGAACTTGAAAATAAAACTTGACACGCTAATGCTGAATCATAATAATAATAATAGTAAAAGTAATAGTAATAATAATAATAATAATAATAATAATAATGGTGTTATATGACAATATTTTGGTGCAAGGCAGATTAATCTTGCAGCAGCGTTTAGCACGAGTTGTAACTTATTTGATTGGCCAGTGGGAGACCGTTGCAATAATAGATTCTACTTGTAATAAAAGCATGTACTAAGGTTTGCGTGGTCTCCAACGACAAATACATGCGAATGCGCCAAATAATATGCAGATGGGAAAATGCAGAGCTGCAGGTCTTACTGATATGAGTAGGCATTGATAAATTGGAGTCAAACCAGGATTTATGCTGTCTCATTAGCTACAAAACATAAAACCGTCTCAAGGCTTGTTCCTTTGACTAGCCAATAATGCCTTGTTATATTTTAGTCACGACCAAGACGCCATCGAATATGTAGTCAATTTTATATGAGATACACAGGTAACCCATAAACATAAAGGCATCCCATAACAGATACTTCTTTTTTCAGGTTGGGGACAAACTGAAACAGAAGAAGCAGCAAGTTATCTCAAGGAGGCTCAACTTCGAGTGGTAAATCCCCATACGTGCTACGAGAAGAACAAAAAATACCATTCAGTGGATCAGAAGACCATGATTTGCGCAGGATACCGTCAAGAACGAGGTGGTTGTCAAGGAGACAGCGGTGGTCCGCTTGCCTGTGAGGAGTATGGACGCTGGGTGTTGAGAGGTGTAGTCAGCTGGGGGAGGTGGGACTGCTCTACGGAGTATTACACCGTGTTTGCGCGTGTTAGTACGTTTGTCCCTTGGATCGAAGACATTATGGCAGGTACGTTAAAGGTCGGTTTAGACGGTACGATTTTCGCCTACAACTATCGTATACAAAACGCTCGCGTCTGTCGTAGGCGGTTTGTAGGCTTGATTTACACGCTAAGACTCGAGTTGTAGGATGGCGCGAGCGTGTTGTATACGATAGTTGTAGGCGAAAATCGTACCGTCTAAGCCTTAAGAAATGTCATGTTTGCGGTTATACCGCTATTTTTAAGAAAGGTACGTTGTGGATGCCAATGGGGACAAGTGATAAGCGATTGAATATAGGTCATTCTAAGATCCAAGAATAGGTGTAATAACTGGTGTTTTTATTAGTATTCAAGAAAACGGAAGTTATTAGAGCAGTGTTTGTATGAATGTGAACTGGAGTCGGTGTCTTATGCGTGCCTTGCCAAGACCGTGACTTTTTTAGAATTTTGATTGAATTATTTCTCACGCAATGTGATTTGTCTGGTAGTGCAGCGATGTTGGCGTGGCTGTCTCCGCGCCTTGTTTATGCCGTGATTTTGGATTTTGGATATTTGATTGGTCGGAGGTCGGAGAGTACATAACTCCTGCCACGTGGGCTGGCCTATGCCTTGCCGTATGACAACCGTGTTCGTGCGGCGAGCGTTTCACACCGGGGGGGGGGGGGGGGGGGGGTCACCCCCCCCCTTGGGGAGGGGTGTGCCGCCAGCACCTCAAAACCCTTACCCTATCCCAGACCTAAAATTTTGAATATACATACCCTACCCCAGACACTACCAGACTAAAACTAAGAGTTGAACACCCTATCCCAGATTAACAGGGTTAGTCGATATTTACTAACGTTTTTATTGTTTTTGTGCCGTCAGAAAGCGTAGCCTATTCGCTAGACAAAAACGTCCAAATTGTTAACCCTATCCCAGACAAAGATGATACCCTATCCCAGACAAAATGTCCAAAAATGATACCCTATCCCAGACCCAAAAGCCGAAAAACCGTACCTTTTAGGGCGGCACATAACCGTATAACAAATATAGGGGAGTAACCCCCCCCCCCCCCCCTAAACCCCCGGGGGTTTACAGTCGTACGAAAACTGCTCTAATGCTGATATATTCACTAGTCCATGAAACCATTTTAAATACCTTACTTATTCATGTCACGGTTGTGTGTCCATAACTACTCCCTTCCGTCTTAGAATGACATATCGCCGGCCTACATAAACTTCTTTTGCTCCGACAACCCATATGGAAATAAGTGTATACATGGTCGACTGGTGGACTCGTGTTAATTGTATTTATTTCATGTTCTATGTGATGTCTAACTTTTTGATATGTTTAATGATCAGGTAATGATGGAAGCTCTACTTTAGGTAAGGATATTCTTTACTATGATTTGACTTTGTTAACTGAAGCCTCTTTGGTATAATATTACACTTGAATATAGAGTATTTAGCGCTGTGATTGGTCGAGCGGCCACTGATTATAGGACTCGACGGTCGGTCGATATTCACTTCGCATTAGAAAATAAAAATAGGCTTTGAACTTTTAGTTTCTATAGACAGACAGACAGACAGACAGACATTCGAAAAAAAAAAAGAGGCTTTAGACACATTCAAATGGCACAAAGTAAAAATTAAAAACGGAAATAGGCTATGCACATTTGGCTTCTATAATGATAATGTTTTTGTATGTTGCGATTCAGGCTGCAGTATAAAAGACCAGGAAATTTGCCGTCACTTGGAGAGTGTTTGTTCAGTGAACGCTGCTGTACGAAAAATGTGTCCCAACATGTGTGACTCATGTGAGTATTGCAACAAACTTGAGGAGTCAGTTGAATTAATCATGGCAAATGAATAATGCTTTAAAGTCGGCTACGCCTCGTGTTCCTAAACTTGCTTCTAATTTAGGACTACTGTACGTCCACAGTAAGATACAGTACGGCTACTGTACATCTATACAGTAAGATACGTGCGACTACTGTTAATCTACAGTAAGATAGGTACGACTGATGTTCGCACGAGGAAAGACACTTAACCGCTACTGTACAGTTACAAATTTGCTGTATTTTCCCACTCATACGAATAAAGCTCTCTAATGGTAGCGCACAATTGCGCCTGCCCAATTTATTCATTATCTATTTTTGATTTCTTTTCTCATTCCCCATTACCTTTTCCCTTACTATCTTTCCCTTTCTTTTCTTTCTCATTATTTTTTTTTATTTTATTAATTATTTCTTCTTTATTAGGCAGCGAAGCAGAAGGCGGTGCTGGTCATGTTGGTATGTATAAGTCTTTTAGTTTTTTAATCAGGTTGAAATAAAAGGAAGTAGAAAAGAAAAAAAGTAGCTTCCCCTTCAACTGACCTCGTGTTTCCATTTTATTTATTTCGAAAACTGGAGACAGATTATGTTACTATAAAACTTCATAGAGGCTTTACACCATCAGTTGATGGTAGCCATGACAGGAGGCACAACAAAAGTCTTTTTTCCCCAGCGGGGAAACGGAATTAGTTTAGTTTAGTGCGTTTACCACCCTAGGTGGACGGCTGGATGCCTAACAGGTTATGTAAACCAGATTTGACCATATTCAGTTGTTCCTGCCTCCTGTCATGGCTGCCATCACGTGAAGATGAAAAGCCTCTGTTTTGCAGTTTTTTTACTTTATTTTTTTATTGTAAATCCTTTTTTTCCAGACTGTAGTGATGTGCCTCAAATTTGCTATCAATTGAAGCAGCGATGCAACGAGGCCATCGTATCTAAAGTCTGTACTAAAGTCTGTAAAGGCCACTGTAAGTCTTACAAAATCCTTTTTAATTCGAACAATAAAAGACTGAATAAAAGCCAAACTTTTTATATAAACTCACGACAGGTCTGAATATATCATTTTCGAGAAATCCCGTATCGCATGTCTGTTCTAAAAACTGTAAAGGCCACTCGAGTAAGTCTAACAAATCCTTTTTAATTCGAGTAATAAAATATAAATGCAGGACTTTTCATATCAACTAGCTTGAATACCATTTCAATAAATTTTAAATGCATCCTTTTTTCTTGCGGAACAGCCCTTTTGAACTTAGCTCACACTTCCACGGATTTTCAAACAATAAAAAAACGTATAATACAATTTATTTATTTTTCTCCTTCCTTCCTTCCTCCTCCTCCTCCTTCTTCTGCTTCATCATCATCATCATCTTCTTCTTCTTC